ACATCAGGATACAGTTTATAGTCTGTGTAGTATTCAGTTTATTTTACTTTATTTTGTAATAAATTGTTACATCACATCATGTAGTATAGGTCACATGTTATAGTCACTTTACTATTGTTATTCATAAATCACCTCAATGATAAAACAACAGCATTAATTTAAGTCTCTCAAACAGGGAGGATGACAGTAGCGTCAGGTTCCTGCAGTACAAAACATTTACTCTTTCCTGAATAACAGATCATGTCCCCTGTCTTTAGTCCTTTTAGTTCTGCCAGATGCTGAAGTAAAAAACAAAACCATGTTTGGTCACAAACATCTAGATAGAGCGTTGAGTGTTTTCAGAATTTGCTTACCGTGTTGAATAATACAAAGGGTTTGAGAATTTACTGTAATGTGTGTATGTGTGTGTGTGTGGGGGGGGGTATGTGTTTACAAAAAGGTCAGTGAGGTCCGCACACTGATGTGGGAAAGGCAATCTCATGAGATTATGAGAAAAAGCATAAATTCTCACCAGAAGGTTGGAGCAGATTTTTTTTCCAATAAGTGTTTATGTGGAAGTTCACACATCAGACATGTGAACACAGAAACGCTGAGTCATCCTTTTTCTGGGGACTCTTTCTGAGACCTGTKTAAAATAATCAAATCCTCCAGGCTCGCTGTCAGTTCATTGACTCTGGTGTCTTGGTTATATTTGTTTACTGCAACACCAGATACATTTTTGTGGAAAAGGGCTAACTCTTCCAGTTACTGAACACAAACCAGATAAAACACTTTGTTCTGGTCTTCTGTTGATAAGAAGAAATGAAAACCTCGTGTCCACTGCGCTGTGTTTCCTCCAGCAGAGGCTCAGATCAGGATCGTCGGCCCCAGCAGCTGCTCTGGGAGGGTGGAGGTGTATTATTCAGGGCAATGGGGSACAGTCTGTGATGACGGCTGGGACATGAAGGCTGCTTCTGTGGTCTGCAGACAGATAAACTGTGGCCCACCGTTCAGTGCTCCAAGCCTGGCCTTCTTTGGTCCAGGATCTGGGTACATCTTGCTCGATGACATCAGCTGCTCAGGGACTGAAGTGACTCTGGACAGCTGTTTTCACAATCCATACGGGATTCACAACTGTGTCCACGGTGAAGACGCTGGAGTTGTGTGTGAAGGTAAGAAAAYGTTTACTTGACTTGATAATGAGGCTGGTATTCTTCTGACTGTGTGTACTTGTGTGTACCTTTGTGTACTCTTACTCTTTATAGACCTTTTCTTTCAGAGTCACCTGCGTTGTCAGGTGCTGTAGGTCTTATGGAGACCAAAGCTGGGTCCAACTGCAGTGGAGTGTTATTATTAGGGTTAGGGCCCGGATCAGGAGTGTCACTCMTTTTCACTGAGGGCCACRTGAAGGTTGTGGTGGCCCTTAAAGGGCCAGTTGTAACCAACTTTAATGTTTCTGTTTAACTTTGACTAAACACAAAACATCAAGTTCCTCACATCGTTGGTTGAGCCCTGCTCACAAACAATAACTGAGCTCTACATGGTATATATTTCCTGCACAGAAACAGTGTTTTAACCATGGGCATCAGAATCGTTTTAAATGTGAGGGGGACACACCGGTGGCAGGGGTGGGGGGTCTTTGGGCCCTCCCCCAGAAAATTTTGAATGAATTAGATACTGTTTCCTGCATTTTGGTGTATTTTAACAGGTTCTTAAACATACTTTTATTTGAGTAAACATTTTA